AACCATGAACAATAATATTAGTATAATAATAACATATAAAATTATTATTACACTTTAATTATTATTATTATTATTATTATTGTTATTATTATTATTATTATTATTATTATTATTGCTGGTATAATAATAGCATATAATATCTGCATATATTAGGTACAATAAATAAATAAATAAATAAATAAATAAATAAATAAATAAATAAATAAATAATACTTTTATACATGTATGCAAATTTTATATTTTACATTATTTTTATATTTGGTTAAGTTCAAATAATAGTATAACACATTCATGCAGTACATCAACTATATTAATTATAATATTTAAATAAAAAAAACTGAAATCATCATGTTGGCTTTATTCTTACAATAATAATCATTATTTTCTTAATGCTCTAATGTAGAATAATCTTAATAAGCAATATATGATCAATTTGCACATATTTGCATTTATCATAATATATATGCATTTACAACAAATAATAAAATATTTTAAAAACAATATACTAATAAACAAATAAATCTATATATACTAACAAGAGAAAAAAATAAAATAAAGTTTAAAGTCTGATATGGTTATTCTGAATACAAATTCTACATTAGGACAGCAACTGACACAAATGTAATGTATAAATCTCCTATTAAATTTCTGTGTGTCCGGCTGTTCGCCAGTGTATTCAACACATTCATATCTTGAAAGAATGTAAATAGACAGGACAAAAAACAAGACATGAATCCATGCCATGGCACAAATACGGCTTTAAAACGCATCAGTGTCCACCCGAGTGTGTGGCGTGCCCGCATAAAACCCCTCTAAAGTGTGTGAAATGTATTTTCAGTGGACTGTGAATGAGTCCCTCTCTCTCATAAGAGGCCCATGAGCTCCACAATCAAGCCCGTAAATACACTCTCCAGACCAATCAAAAGTTTAACACACAGCAAATGGAAAGAGATTGGCAAAGCAGGACGGAGGCTCACTTTCTACAGCAGTGCCAAAGACACAACACACACACACACACACACACACACACACACACACACACACACATACAAACACAATGCACAATATTTTGCTTGAGGATTGATATCGCAATGTGTTTATCCGCAATAGTCAGGATATGATTATGTATTAGGATTAAAAGAGAAAGGCATTATTAAATATTATTATTTTTAAACAATTCATACAATGATGCCCATGTTATTTTATGTTAGATTGTTTACTGTCTGTACCTCAATACTGTTAGACTCTCAAAAATAAATAAATAAATATCCCTCCGTTTACCTTTTATTTTTTGCACTGTTGTTTTTATATATGCTTGCAATTTATTCTAATTTATGCAAGCACATTGCAAAAAAATAAATGAAAACAATCTATATATCAGATTTTTCCAACATCATGCAGCCCTAAAACACACACACACACACACACACACACACACACACACACACACACACACACACACACACACACACACACACACACACACACACACACACACACACACACACACACACACACACACACACACACACACACACACACACACACACACACACACACACACACTAAACAAGAACAGCATCTGCCAGGTAGAGAATGACAGTGAGTGTTAACAATATTAGACATGGCATGAAGATCAGAAGATCACGCTGAAAAGGGAAAGAGCGTTATGCTTTCTGTAATTAACATCATATTCACATTCAGATTTCCCCCCTCCAACAGACTCCACAAAAGAAAGCCTAATTGCTCCTTTACAGGCTAATTCTGAGTTTTAACTTCAAATTTTTTTTCTCTTTGCAATCATGATCTTGCAATTATGACGCTTTTTAGGTCAGAACTGCAACTGCTCAATATGGCAAAATAAATATCGCAATAGTATCATATGCAATATAAATCAATATATCTAAAAATTCTTTTAAAAAGCATTTTGTAGATTTTGCATATGATTTTCAGAAATAATAGGTCAAAATTAAATCAAACTTAGATTTTTTTATTAGGGCTCGCATGCCAAAGTTGGCCCATAGCAACCTTTGATTTGGCCCGCTTATGCCATCAGAGAAGAGAAGGAGAATGATGGGGATGGTTAAGAGACTGTCATTTCTATTTGAATGTAACATTCGGTTTGCTTTATTGCTAAAAAAAAAAAAAAAAAAAAAAAAAAAAAAAAAAAAAAAACTAACTGAGCTGAAATGTTTCAATTAAATGTTTTAAATTAATCAGATTTTTTCTTAAATGTACATACTGTCACCTGACAGATAGAAGACAATGCTCAGACATCAGTGAGCAAATGCAGGCAAAGGCAGATTCTGCTTGACTAGTATATTTAGCGTTGAATTCCAGTGATATAAATGTGATTGTTTTTGTTTATATTGTAGAAAGTTTTAATTAAAACAATTGTACTGCATTAGTTAATACGATTTAAAGTTATTTTTTCTATTTATTTGTAAATATTGTACACAAAAATTACCCATGACAACTTTAATGTAATTTATCTTGATATATTTATCTTCAGCCTCAATGATATTTGGTTTTTGGCTCTTTATACGAAAAAGTTTGGGCATCCCTGAAATAGAAAATGCTTTTTGTTTTAAGAATTTTAGGACATTTGGACTAGAAACAAAACAAAAACTCTAAGTAAAATTGCTAATTTTAAGGCTAACTATAAGTTTTTATTTAGATAGTTTTTCTCCTTGAAATTATAATCTTGTATTTATGACGCTTTTTGGGAGGGGGTGCAATAAACAGTATAACAATAAATCCAAAAAATCTTTAAAAAAAAGAAGCATTTTCTAGAAATGTAAAAATTGTATATGATTATCAGTAATAATAAGTCAGAATTAAGTGAATATTTTTCTAAAGCAAGCAAAAATCTAAAAAGATTTTACTTAAGATTATTTGGCTTGTTTCAGTTTATTCATAACAATCAGCGTTTGTATAATGTTATTATTATTATTAGCAGTATTATTTATTGTTTGCATATTTATATTTGTTTTAATAAAAACAAGTATAGATTTGTCCACCTGTTGGGTTTGGGAGACGTATGCTTCACCATATGGAGCATAAGAACAGGATGTGTGTTTGGAGATAACTCAACAAAACTCCAAGTTTTGAGCACACTTCATAATTATTGTTCATTTATTAATTTGGTGGAAATTAGAACTGAATTTAGAAATAGTTTTGAAACAAATCTAAAAATTAAATATATAGACTAATGGATGTCCTCAGTGGAGTGAGTTTTCACCGTTTCTTTACTCCACGAAAGTAAAGGAGTAAAGAGCAAAAGTAAAGTAAAGAGAAAGTAAAAAGGCAGAACGGTGGAGGCTCAAACTGTTTTTTGCCCTAGTAAAGTGTTCAGTTTTTTCACGTACAAAGTCCGCCATGTAAATAGCAAATGTGCCATAGTGCGACGCAACTGTCTCTTAAAAGGAATAGGAAATGAGACTGATTAGTTTAATGCATGTTATACTCAAAACACACCCATTACTCATTAGGAGAACAAGCACATGTAGATAAAAAGAGCCCAAAATGTTTGCACCCTAATGCCGAGTTCAGACTACATGATTTTTAAAGTAGTCGTGTCACAGATGTTTTCACACTGCATGACTATCTGGGCTAGCGTTTCGTTGCTGCTTTGTTTACACTGCAAGATGGATCGGCGACAGGGACTTTCACATTGCATGACTTTACTATAGGAAGAGTCGCCGACAACTTTGTCCAAACTACGTCTCACAGCCAAAAACACGTAGTATATCTTTTGTTATTAACTACATAATGAGAAAGAAGCCTTTAATGGGGTAGAACATGTACATGTTTGCTCACCTGGGTTTAAAGGGAATTAGCCATTTCTCCTCAACGTTGATAATAAACTAATTTCTTTCTGTATGAAACGTCAAACAGACACAGTTGCTCCTGAGTCCTGTCAAACCTCCACTAGTTTATCCTCCATTTC